AAAAAAAAAAAAATTTTGAAAAAAATGTCGCTTACGTTATTTTGGCGGTTAGGGCTCGATATGTACATATGCATTTCAAAAGAGCCCAAAAATGATCAAAATCCAAGGCAAATTTTTTAATGTTGGTTTATTTATTAAATTTTCAATTATTTTGAAAAACTAAGCTAGTCTAAATATTTGTTTATTTCGCATATTAGCATTTTTTAATTAATGATCTCTCACTTCATGTTACATTTGTGTATTTGAATTCTTCAATTGTTATACATATGTAAATAATTTCCAATGACATTAAAATGCGCTAATTCGTACACATGGCGCGTTAGCGTATAGTTTTTAATTCGGTTATGGTATTTGCCAGTTCTACTAGAGCATTTGTTTCTTTACATACTGAATGCAAAGAATCTGTTGTTATTAACTTGTTGCAAACTATTTACTTAGCATTAATTCTTGCAACGAATTAGTTTCATGTACATATACATATATATCAATGTCAAGTGTATAACGAAATTTAAATACGTATTTATATAGTTCTAATTTTAATTGGATTACTTGTATTTATTTTTTTTTTTACGTTTATCTATTAATGCTTAACTTTCTGCTATTTGTTTATAAGGTTTCTTTTTTTGGTTACAGTTTTTATATACTTTTTTATTTCCTTTATTAAGCAATGCTTTTATGCAAATGTCCAATTGAATATTTAAAAACGAGTTGCAGTAACAAAAATGTATCGAATGATGCGAATGTAAAAAAGGCAGACTGAAGTAAATGATGGTAAAATTTTGGTTGTATTTTTCCCCTGCAAATATCAATTATTCGATTATAAACACAACACATTTTCATAGATATTTTGATTAGCAGAAAAAGTTACAGCTGCATACATATGCAGGTTTTTTTGTTATTTATTGTTTCTTGGAATAATTTTTTTTTTGCAAAAATAAACGCAGAGAAAGTGTCCACTTTTACTGAATTATTGTACAAATTAGATATTAAAGTATGCATATAACTTAGATGTAGGATTAACGCAATTAGAAATTAAATTTAGTTTTATTGTTTTTTTTTTACATGTATGTATGTATTTAACATCAATATTTTCGTTTTGCGTAAATAGTCGAAATATCGTTTTTAGAAAATCATTAAGCTTATAATTACATGAAATACAAGTAATAATTAAAAGAGGTTCGTTTAAAAATTACACTCAAAATTTACAAAATAAAATGCAACACAAAAAATAAAGTAAACATAAAAAAGTGGAAAGAAAATTTAGAATACATTTTAAAAATAGGACATTTCAAACATAGCAAGTGACAAAATCCTACAGATACCGGTTTACGTAACAATCAGCGCGTGTTTACAAAAACAAATAATTATTTTAGCTTTTTTCGATCGTATTCGAATGTTGTGTAACCGGAGAAAGTGCCCAAATTAATCATTGCTAGAGGTGTTGACAGGCGTGTGGCATTGTTAATTAAACATTTTATGTATAAAGTTACGGAGACAAAGAATGTGCGAGAAAAATTAGTTTCAGTTTTGTTCTTTCTACCACTCGAGTTAATTAAATGTTATTATAACTAACAAATTACGATTAGTTATCAGCGATATCAGTATCAATTAATTTATAGGGATTTCTTTTTAAATATACATATTTATGTTCTTTTTTTTTGTTTGCTTATAAGTAAAATTATGCAAATACATATTTAATTTCTAATGTAAACTCGCAAGCAGTCGCTCATAACATAAGCTGTCATGCTTTAGCCAAAGTGGAGTCGAACGAGAATAAATGCAAATCAGGTCAAAACGCAAGAAGCAATTGAAAAGTGCTGGATTTTATTATTTAAACTACTGATATCGGTTGAATAAAAAGCAAGGTTATAAAACCAGTTTCGAGTATTACAGCTCGTAAACTCGAAACTCGGGAAAAGTATACTTTTTTTTTTTTGAAGAATACCGTTTCTGTTTTACTCGGAATACTTACTAAAGCCGATGGTGTGTTGTACTGCAATTGAACAGCTTACTTAATTAACTATTTCCTAAGCCGCATTCTTTTGCAATCAACTAATTTTCAAACATTAACCAACGGCCGCGCCGAAATAAAAGGGCCCTCCATATAAACAAACTATCAATTTTTCCGTAGCAACTTATTTTTCCGATTATATTAGCGCGTTTTTGGAATAATGAATACGTTAAAGCGATTTTCGCTTACAACAACCCGATCACCTAACCCCACTTTGGCACCCCAGCAAGCCAGCAAGCTGCTTAATCTGTGTTAAAGAGTATTGCATTTAATGCCTTTACCTAGATTAAGAAAATTTTAACAAATCCAAACACAACATGTACGCACACAACATACACATATACACAACACCGCCCCCACAGTCGACGGCGTTCCAATCCATCAGCTTAACAAACGATTGAGTGCCGAAGAATGCTAACGACCGCCGTACATTTATTGGTGCTCGTATCGTTGTTGTTGTTGCTGCTGCTGCTGTGGTGATTGCCGCCGATCTACGTCCGCAACATCATCGCGCGTCGCCGTCGTATGTGTGCGACGCAATCATGATGATGAAGCTGATGAATTTTTCGTTGAACTGCCACCACCGCTGCTTCCGCGCTGCTTGTCGATATACACATTCAATAAACGCACTTTGCTTGGATTTAATACCGACAATTTCGGTTTCACCTTTTCCTCACCCATCACTATGTAGAGCTTAACGATACAGAAAACAGCTGCTTTCCGCACCATCGATTCGCTGTCGTCGGTGAGGCGCGCCAAATTCGGAAATATGCTATCCAAATGAAATTCGGTCAATTCGGCGCCGTGACGGTCGGCCAGCTCAGTGAGTAACTTGACAGCGCACAAGTTCATCGGATAGCAACTGGTCGCTATAACAGGGTTTACAATATTTATGGTGGCGTTCAGTGGCAACGAAGATACAATACGCGGTATGATCAAATCGATTTCACGCGCTGTCTCCTTACTGTGCGGATAACAATTGATAATGCGCAGCAATATCAGCTCAAGGAAGTTAATCCAAGTATCCTTCATTTTGGTGCTGCGTACAATTTTGCCGAGCACACTTATCACGGCGATCATCACATCAGCTGTTTGTGATTCTAATAGCCCGAGCAGCATTTTCATGATCGCGCGGAAATGTTTGTTTGGAAGCTCGCAATTGCCACCTTTAATGCAGATCTCCAAATTGGCAAGCGCTTGCTGGAGCTGATCCACTGGCATATCAGGTTTGAGGCCACATGCCACGCGTATAATTTCGCTTTCGGTCAAGCCGCTTTCGAGCACAATTTCACCGTTCGAGGCGACGGTGTAGTTGCAACGAGAGCTATGATGTGTGGAGCCACTTACCACGGCTGTGTTGGCGTTGGTTGCTGATGTGAGTCCAACATTTGTGGTCATGCGTTGATGTTGTTCCAACAGGTTTGCATCTAAGCGCATTGTAGTGCTTTCCGGTGTATTCGATTCCGTAGTGGTGGCGGACTGTGTCTTTGAATTGGAAGATGCACACGAGTCTTGCTGATCGTGCAGGTAGCCATTATAGCCGTTGGCATTGGAGAGCGAATGATACTGACGTGTATTATTGGTGGCTGACTCAATGCCGACACCTACACCAAAGCAATTACGGATCTCCTCGGATGTTTTGTGTATATTATGCTGAACATCAGCCTCCGAGTAGAGTTCGTGGTCGACTGACGACTGTCGCGAGCGGGGACTAGTATTGAACTGTGGCTGCAGCGACGAAAATGGTCCAAGCGATGGGCTCTGTAACGGCTTAGGACTGGCACTTGAATGCGGGGAGGATGGTGAATTTGTGCCGGAAGTACTGCTTCGTCGCAAATGTGACTGAATGATGGCTTTTGCGGTATCCTGATAGCCCTTAGGTAGGCTAGACAACAACTTGGTCATTTGAGGTGTGCTGCGATTATAGAGCGCAATGAGACATTTACGCGCTTGATCACGCAGATCTTTGCTCTTGGGGTCACCGGCTTGTTGGACAATTTTTAGCACAGCCTTATCAACCGCCAACGGTCCGTCTTCGGAAGGAAAGTCGGTGGATTTGCAGTAATTGGTTGCCAAGTCAGTGAGGAATTTTAGTATGGCTATTTTTGTTTTAGTACAGGGAGTTTGCGCTGTATCGGCTAGTATGCGGAAGACATCCCTAAGCTGTTGGTCGGGCGGGAAGTATTCATGCACCACTTGTAAGGTCTTGTTAATTTTAATGTGCATTGAGTTGAGCAACTCCATGCCAAGTTTGTTGAATAGTCGCGTCAATAATACGAACAGCCAGTCCTGTAGTTCGTTGGCATGCGTTAGTATCAGCTCGGTAACTGCTTCAAGAAACAATGAGTACACCTTTGTGTGTGTTTCCACGAATATTTTACGGAACATATCTAAGACAGCTTGCAATTGTTGTGGTGTCAGTTGATTGCCATCGGCCAGGTACTGAGTCAAGCTGATGACACCGTCCTTGCGTTCGGACCAAAGCGACGAGTCACAGTACTGTATGATAGTATCAATGTCGTCGAATGGTGCGCGTGTGCAGCTCCAGTCCAGGCGGTTTCGTGAACCTGACAGTGAATAGTTCGAATTATTGCCGCGTGTCATTGACGAATCAAACGACCGCTCCGAACACACCGACGATGCCTCGGAGTCGTCGGACTCGTCGCGCGGCAGCAATTTGCGACCCATCCTCAAACCAGCCGTATACCCGCGCGAATACTCGCCATAGTCGATGGCCCGCTCCGATTCCGGTGAAAGCGCGTCAGCCAGTGCGCTTTCTGCTTCTCGGCTCTGCGGCAATATGCGCGCAGCAGACAAGGAACGCGGATTACTGCGCTCAGGAGTGCGTCGGGCTGAGTTAGTAGCGCTATTCTTGGAATAAATACTCCGTTTCATGGCAACGCGGGTTGGACTAGTTTCCCGCGAGCTGGTCAATGAACGCGGTATGCCAGAGGCCTTTTTCGGTATGGTACCAGTTATCGGTCTATAGCCGTATGGTTCGCGCAATTTAGAACTGGGCGATGTGGAACGCGAACCAGGTTGCGATTGCGATACTCCAGCGCGGCCACGTGTACGCGCCGCAATTGCTACATTTGACGGCGCAGGTGTACCTACGCCCGTCGTTGTGGCACCGCCCATATATCGTGGACGTGGTAAAGAGGCTGTGCCTGCAGTGCCTGTACTGTTAGATGTCGCAGCAGGCGCATTGCCAACAGTGCTTAGTTTCTTGCGTGGATAAAACGAATATTGTGCGCGTGCTTTGGCACGTTGGGCTGCAGCAGTGTCTACTGCGGACACGCTGCGCATGCCCGCCGCCGGCTTCTGTATTGAACCGGGTGAACGTTGGAATCGCGGTGCTGCCGCTGCAGATCGACGTTCGGCCTCGATGAGCACATTGCCACCATCACGCTCTCGTTCTAGGGCACGTTGCGACGCAATATCAAGCGTTGTGTATATCTGATCAGCAAGTTCCGGGAAATGCCGCCGAAATTTCCAATAAGCGCGGCGCGAATGACGACGTGCCTCATTATCTGCATCCGCAATCGTGCGCTTGAGTACGTCACGTAGTTGTTGTGAGCAGCGCTCCATGGGTTTTGTTGGCCACTCATCAAACATTAAACAAAGCATTTCGCACAAAGCGGCCCGAATGTCCTTCGATTTGGATTGTTGTAGTGTGTCCGTAACAAGTTTTATCATTTTCGGCGAATGTGCGTACTTGATGATGTACCTGAGTGCGATATTCGATGACGATGCGATAACTTTGGCAGAATTTTGAATTAAATTTATAAGTGCCTCCATGATAGCCACGCAGAAAGGTTCAAATTTGTTACGTAGTGTCTTTGCCATATAAGCGATTGTAATGCACGCCTCACGTATAACCTGCGAACGCAATTCCTCCTTCAATATGTCGAGGAATGGTATTGAAAGATCTTTCAATTGCGCCACGAATTGCGGTTGCGATTGTATATTTAGCATTAACAGTGAACGTATTTTCTTCAACGAATCTATGCGCTTCTCCCAATCGGCATTCTTATCGCTTATTACAACAATAATATTCCTATAAATGTCATCCATGTCTTTTGGATGAAATATAGTTAATTGTGGCACAATTTCGAAAGTCGATTCGAATATTTCAGCAGTGACAGCGCCAGCATCGCTACTTGCACTCGATTCCTGTGCACTGGGCTTACTTCGCATTGTCGAAGACACAGTACGCTTAACGATTTTCGTCGGACGATCACGAACACTCACGTTGTCGGACTCATCGTGACCATTATTGGCGGCGGATGCATTGGTTTGCAGAGCCGATTTCAGCAATAGACCTTCTGCTTTAATTTGATCGAATTTCTGTTCTAGTATCGCTAATTTGGTAGTGGGTACATCATCCATTTTACGCAAGTCCGCACGCAATCGATCACCAACATGCTTATAAATCTCCACCAGCGTCTGTATAGCTGCATCGCGTACGGTGGCCGTAGGATCGCCCAGCAATGCGCTAATAGGCTGTATATAGGTGCGTACACTCAATTGCGATGTGCCATATTCGTTCAACGTGTTCACGATGGTCTGCAAAAACTCTTCGCGTACTTTGGCATTCTTGTGCTTGAAGCAGGCGACTGCAAGCTTATCAATGGTGGTCTGTGGTGCTAGCACTTTGTATTCCATTACAATTTGCAGCAGCAATTGTGCTTTCTCACGTACGGTATCCTTGCTGTCGCCCAGACGATCGATCACATGAGGCAACACGGTTGCGTTATACGCATTAAAATCAGGACCAAGTCTTTTGATTAACTCTGAAAATGCTTCCAATGATTTTTGTGCTATTTTAAAATGACTGCCAGTTAGCCAAGGCATAAGACCATCCACAAGCATGCCCAAATCCATGCAAACAATCGAATTTGACTCATCGCTCAGGAATGTGACCAAGTCTTCGGCGAGCAGAGCTTTGACACGCATATCGGCTTTAGGCATCATTTGAATGAAGCCATCCAAATCGTTCGGCTTGCGATACGCCATATTTGTGATTTTTTTGGAGTATTCGTATTTTGTTGAGGGTAGTAAATAATTAGTGTGCGGCTACGGCTACACGCCGTAAAGTTATTATCTATACTGAAAATATAAGTGAGAATAAATATTAGCGATGATAAGTTTGGCATTATTAACTTTAATAGAAAATTGCTAGCTTGTTGCTGTAAAAGCACTGTTTGTCCCTGCTGAAGTTAGTAAAATTGTTCACGTATTTGAGATTTTGGTTTTAAGGAAAGAAAGAAGACGCAGAACGCTTTACATTATCTACATGGTACATACATGTATCTCCATTGGAAAACATTAATGCACAATCGCCGATTTGAGAAAACCCAGAAGTAAAAAGATTTGCTAACATAAATACATTTAGATATTTCCGTTGGCAGGACTACTAGTACGAATATTAAATCACTTTTAAAACTCAAAGCATTCAGTTCTTTTCTTTGTTTGTTTCTGCATTATGCTTACTTTTAATGATGCTTTTTTTAAATCTGTTCAACACAGTCGCTAAACCAAAACAATTTATACGCCGCCGGATGTTATGAAGGCTTTCTTAAGCTTTAGAAATTTAATTAAGCATGGAAATCACTAAAATAATGGCTATACTACATATTTCCACACAGATAATATTTTATATTATAAAAAAAGAAAACTGATAGAAACCACCTTTCCGTATATAATTATTCTTGTGCAGTTTTGTATGTATATATGTACACAGCCGTTTTTATGTGCCACCTTGATGGAAAAAGTGTTTTCTTTTACCTTTCTTTACTTGTTATGCTTTTGACAACTATGCATATACATAACATAGATAAATGTTACCGCAGCTGACATCGACCCACCAAACTGTCGACCATATGACGCGAGTGTGGGAGCGGTTGGGTTTTAGCGAGTGAATCATCTTTCCTGGCTTTGTAGCAAAAAACTATATGTATGTATGTACATAAAAGAGCAAAAAATGGAACTACCGGCTATGGAGCACGGCTTCGTTCGTTTCTGTTTTTGTAAAGGTGGCTATAAGGTGTGTGTGTGTGTGAGATCTAAGAGTGGCGTATACTCAGTCTGTTCAATATTTTCATACGTTCGCCCCACCGCCCGCCTGCTTGATCCGCTTTTATTATTTATATTCATATGAATTTACTTATTTGGGTAAAATAAAAAAAATCTACGATATTACTTCCACGACGTTAGTGATTTATTCCATTTCTTTACACGAATAATATATGCGGTTGTGCTCTTTTATTCTTTCTTATTATTGTTCCTTTACTTTTATGGAGAATTATAATTGCCAGCGTGTTTATTGAGAATATCTGGCTGAAAAGTACAATAAGTATGAACAATGAAATGGAAAATGCTAAAAAAAATCTCTATTACAATCAACAAAGCAGCCAATTGCCAAAGCAACGATAATGCAAATAAAATATAAACAGTGGAAAGATAACATATACCATTTAAGAGGTTGATTTGTGAGCATATCGAAATCTAAAAAACCTTTACCAATTTAACAATTAGGTACATATGTAGGTAAAGAAATGCAAACAATGTTTACACATTACTAAGTTAAATACAATAATGACGTAATGGCAAGTTTCAAAGTCCATCAATTTGTTTATACATATTGCTTGTTTTTTTTCTTTTCTGTTCCAAAATTAATTCAATTAAATTCACTCCCAAATTAAGTGGTTTTGACATCCATTTACCCTACGTTACAAATTTTATAAAAAACATGTTCTCGCCAACTTTTCGTTTTGAGGGTATAACAAATGTATGTGTGTAGATGAGGCGCAAGGCAACACGAACTACAAACATATATGTACATATACACAACCACAACACAGCGGCCGTCAACGTTGCCATCGTCATCGCTCCAACATCGAATTTAATGCATACGCAATTTTCTATTTATAAGTATCGTTTTGTTCAGTGATTCTCACTTGAACTGAAAGAAACAAATTGGCAAACGTTGCCGGTTAACGTACAAACATGTCCCCACCGACAGCAGTGCACGAATTGATGACGGATGGAGGTGCAGAGAAAATCTCACTGCACGCGCTGCGTTGATAATTGGCCAAAGAAATGTCAAAGTGATCCCAAATTGATTTCAATTGGACGAGCAATAAACAAATAGATATGAACAATGCCGTCGTAGCGGCACTCGCTCCAACCACTGAAGTAAACATCATTAAGACATACATACTTATATACTTAAGGTGCAAGCTAAGTTTCTCCATTGCGATGTGGTCACATTGCGCCCTCCAATTACTAGTTTAAACATGTAAAAAAAACCATCGAAGTGGCACATAAAACTCACACAAATCAAACGACTTCTATGTCTCAATTGTGTACTTTCTGTAATCAGTTTTGGTAGTTTTTATCATAGTGAAATAATTTTATTACAATAATATTATTTCACTATAGTTTTTATCATGGCTTTCAGTCTCAAATGTCAGGTGTATTGCAATTTTAACCAATTAAATGATTTAAAAACTCACCGGGTGAAAAGAAAGATAAAATTTCTTTCTATAACCAATAATGATAATGCGGCAGCGCTAAATGCTGCTTCGGCTGCAACACCGTCAGCAATGTCTGCCGACCGCTTTGGCGAAAAATGCGCTGTGACAAGTTCTCGGGTTGGGTGGTTGCTAGCGCTTCTTCTTCTCCGACTAAATTTTGATCTTTCCGCCCTCCCTCAAACGAGAAGTTGGCAAAAATTGATTTTCCAGTAGGGCCACTGTTTCAAGAAATCAGGAACCTACAGGGCGTTTGCTCTCTCCTTGGTTGACACTTTCGTCGATTCGTCAACTTGTGCCTTGCCTAGGAATGCCTGCAAATTTTTCACTTTTATTAGACACCAAATCTCACTAAATAATTTTATCAATGCGACCGGCAATAAAGGACATTTTCAGGTTATGTTTAATTTGCTAAGGTATTGTATTTTCATATGTTAATAAATTTTTAATAATTTTTCTCTATAGTTATTTATCGTGTCCGATGTCCAAAACGTCTGCTGTTGCTTTTACTGTATGTACTCACAATTAACAAATTCCAATGTCTTTTTCGTCTCTCTTCTATGCACTACTTTGCTTGCCTTGGTCGTTGCTCCTGTTGGTTTCTGCTTTGCGGAGTTTTTCTTTGCTCAGTTTTTCTCAAATTTATATTTGTTTAATATTTTATTTATTCTTTTTTGTTTAACAATTCGCATAACTTCTTTTTACGTACTGTTTTAATAAACCCTGACGTTATCCATGGCCTCACCAACAAAAAAAAAAAAACACAACAATAACTTACATACACACAAACTCGATTCACTCGCTTCTGTTTTACCACTCAATTCGCGTTTCTCGCCGTTTCTCTGCTCAAGCTTTCCAATGAGTGACGCAGTTGCGGTGGATCCACTTTTTTCCCAAATTTTATCTGCAGCGACGCACACTGTACTGCTTTAAATTACAAAAGTTTAATTTCCAAACGAAATAAATGCAAATTTGCGATTTTGTCACACTTTGCCATAACTTTTGCACATATTTTCGATTTGTTCGAGTTTTATTTTTAGTTTTAAATTCACAGTTTTTGCAGCCACACGCAGAAACGTTGGAAGTTTTTCGCTCTTCGTAAAATTATGTCATTTTCAATTTCGTCTAGTGATGAGCAATGAGCGATATTTCACTATCGGTGATTTTTGCAGTATAATTTGAAAATCAGGCATAGCAGAAGATAATAAAGGTCGAGAAAAATTTACGATGATTTTGGAGGCATTAATAGTTAAGTTTCTCTAGTATTTTTCTGAAGTTCCGATGCGAAAACTGCAAAAAATCGCAGCCATTCGCCGATTGACACAAAATCATCATATCGCTCATCACTAAGTTCTGCCGTCAAAAGTCAAAATGCCAAAACCGAAAAAACATCAGATAAATGTCAACAATAAAGAAATTAGTCTGTTCCAAAGCAGTCCGGTTTACAGGATTTAGTCAGAACTTACAGGAAGTCGTTCCTATTGACATAAAACCTGTAAGTGGGAACACATTTAAGAGAGTAACTGAGCAACTGTTCCTAGTCAGAAGTTACAGGATTTAGTCCGGAGTTTTTCTTCCTGCAAGTTCATGAAAAGTGTCAAACGATCAGCTGATTTGCATGTGCAAACAAAAATAGAAAGCGGTGAAAGCAAATAACCTTATATTTGTACAAAAATGGAAGTAAACAACGAAATATTTGAATATGTATAGATTTTAATAATTATTTAGTGATATTTCAGCCAAATCAGTGTAGTACCAATGACATGTAAACAAACCGTCTGACGTTTTTACAGGAAATAGTGCTTTTTGCGTTCCTATGCACTTCTGCATCTGTTCTCCTTTTACTCTCATTTGAGAGCGTAAAATTGTAGTTTGACAGTTCCACAGGTTTTAGTCCGAAGTTCAAAGGAACAGACTATATCTAAACGAATGGAATTGGATATTATATGGGACCAAATATCGGTTACACCCGATTTACATGATTCAAGTACTTGAAAGCAATTCTTGCTCATTCTCTTTTGTGTTTTCTATTTGCTTTTACACGTTTCAATTCTGTTGAATTCAAGTTTTTGGTTCTTTAAATGGGAAGCAACGAAAATGCCAAAAGCAAAGCAAGAAAGTTGAAACGACTTGACGGTACAGACGCATGTGTACTCGTCCCTTTTCTTCTCACCCCCTCTCTTCCACATGCGAGCAGAATTGAATTCAATACTTGAACTGTGTAAAAGCAGTCTTAGTGCTGAGCGAGTCCGAGCTGTTTAAACGATGGCGGGAATCGCCATCATTACAAAATTACAATCAAGTCAATAATCGACTCGCTGCCCGACTGTACAATCGAGATGTTTTTCGATTGTTTCCAGTCGACTGACTTATCGCCGACGAGATCATGTGAACTCAATCGATGCTACGAAAGCTAGCCTTGTGCAGGTGTGTATTAAGTAATTTTTTTTAAATATACATACATATTTACATATCGCATACAAATTGAAATGTCAAAAATATTTTCAGAAGTTCAAATTTATACTGACTGAGAGATTGTTGGGTATACGGGCTCAGGAAAATGTACTAAAAATAACGTTTTTGTGTTTAATTACTATTCGTAACAGTAAAACACGTCGTTTAATGTCTTATTTATAAAATAGGAATAATAAAAAAACAATCCGTAAAAGCCTGTACTCCCAATATTTACTATCATTGATCTCATTTATTTGTTTACCAACCAACAAGGGTATGCTTATTTGTTTTTTCGTAATTGTTATACATATGTATTATTTGCAATGATTCTATTTTTTTCTTATAAAAATTGATTGCATGCAGGTGCAAATAAAGTTGCCATGTTCAACAAGCTAGTCCGAGATGTTTTGACCGATTGTTATTGGATGTTAAACGCGAGTGGAGATTCGTTGCCAGAGTCTGCGACAGAAAACCATCAAGATGATTTAACAGCCGCTGGCCAGCAGCGAAGCCCGGATGATTTGGTCGATTTTTAGCGGCTATGTTACTTCAGGTTAAGCACGATTATTTTTTTGGAGTGTCGATTCGTATTCGAAAGAAAACATCGAGAACAATCGAGATATTTGAGCAATCGAGACAATCGACTAAGACATCTCGGACTCGCCTATTTCTAATATCGGTTGGGATCAAATGCACTACCGGTAGTACAGGGTGAAAACCGGAGGGTGAATTCTGCTAGTGCATTCCAATGAATACAGCGAGAACCAGCGAGATGTGCGCTCATATGGTGGTGTGGATGTTCGATAAGAAAACCAACTTGCTTTTAAAATAAGCATTTTTTTTGTGTGAAAAATTTCTGTATAAATATTCCATTGTAACAGGGAAGATTTTGTAAAGCACAGTTTTATCGAGTTTTCTTAACATCTCTCGGTGCAGGTAGTTAGTTAGTTAATTTTCCAGCACAGGGTGTAAAGCACAATTGAAGAGGTTAGAATCAAAAGGATCTAAGTAGATCTGAATTTTTTTTTTGAGATAATTAAGGTTGATTACCTATTGTAGATTCTGGGTAAATGCATTTGAAATCATTCTTGCCGAAATGAATGCAGGTTAATTAACTAATTCAAAGAATGTTTACTCTTTGTCACCAAATAAACACTATATTTAACTATAAAAATATGGGTGTAACTTATATTAAAAAAAAATTTCATTTAGACCCTTATGATTCTAACCCCTTCAATTTTGACGCGATCTTTTAACATCTCCTGGTGCAGGTAAAAGGGTTAAAAATTCTAATTACTATTAATACAAAATATTTGCTCATATGTTTACTACCTAATCTTCCAAAACCATATGCAATAGCGCGATTACAAGCCAGTTTTTAAGCTCTTATTTATTATTTTATAGCAATCATACTGTGATGTCATATACTGGCGACCTCTAGTGACATAAATGGTAAATTGCAACCCTAAAGCGAAGCATAAAGGAAACGCAGTTTGTGTTTCCGTGACTAAAAATAGCCGTAATCGATTCGCCAACAGTTAGCGAGTGGCGAAACGAACGAACTCAGGGCCGGTTGTTCAATGTCTGATTAGCACTAATCGGAGGTAGAAGCTCTGATTAAATACAACGACTGCTTTATCGATCACATGTTATTAGCTGCCTTCAATTCGCTATTTCTCTGCCTGTTTGCGTGTGAAAACAAGAACAAAGTTAGCAACCAGCGATGAACGTTGGCGAGCAGAGAAGTGTCGAATTGAGGGTTTTTTTGAGATAGTTTTAAATTAGGTTTTGGTGGAAAAAAAGAACGGACGAATCGCAAAGTTTAGTTCATCGAATGAATTTAGATTTTAAGAATCAACGTTAATGATCCAAACACTTTTTTACACATATTCCCACGACAGTCGATTCTACGTAACCGGAACCATCCAGATTTATATCTGGCCAAGGGGCTGTCACTCCAGGAACTACCCCCAAAAACTCGGGGGAATTTTTTTGCTGTTACAACAACGAAAATCAAAATATTTTTGCACATATTAATAACAACCAGGCGAATAAAGTTTCGTGCGATTCGAACGCAAGGGCTATTTGAAATATGGGCGTGTGTCTTGACACCGCAATCGAAAAACTAAATTAAGATGCCGAAGAAATAAGAAGGCGGCGTTAATCCTTGCGGTCTAAATTCTATTACCCGAATGCAAGTATACAAATAAATGAGAGCCAATTCGAAAATATAAGAAACCAATATAAGTTAATTTTAATTCTAACAATACCAGACGGAAAAATTCCAACCATGATTGCTAATGTTTGGCCTAAAAGCTGAGCTGAGAAATAGAAGAGACTGATGCTTACGACTTTTACAATGGGCACCTTCAGAAGGCTCAGGATGGTTCCGTGCCTAGAAGTCCACGTTAAGGGGAAGAGCTTTTGACGGCCTTTCACTTGGGAGTGGCCAGAGGTGATTCTTTTGCGTACGGTTCTAATCGAAGCCTACAACGACCGGATATTTATATCCGTGTATCATTTGGGTAGCGACCAAACATCTGTTTGGGAGCGAGCTAAAGTGAAAAGGCGTAAAACTTCGCGTGAGTGGTTCCCGCCACGTTAAAACCCCGCCAAATAAAAAAGGAAAATATGCCTTGGATGAGACCCGCTTAATTTTATGGCGACCACGTCAAACGTATGTATAAAGGACTATGGTATTAGGGTATGCACCTGGCATATCCGGACCACCAATGGCGAAGGTAAGCGTGGAGCCTTGCGACGTCTACTCAGTTGCCACGTAAAGGAGCGAAAATTCGGTGCTGGACTTGTGGTGGGAGAGAGACTCCGTCGCCAAGTACTGGCGTTCACCCCGGTGGAAGAACGTCTAGCCGCAATCCGCATCAAAGCGATATTCTACAACATCTCCCTCATCTGTACCCATGTCCCGACAGACGAGGATTCCCAGGACCTCTTCTGTGAGCGCTTGGAGTGTACAAATGCGCGCTGCCCCCGACGCGATATAAAAATCGTGCTTGGCGATTTCAATGCCAAAGCGAAAAAGTCTCCACGACGAAATGTCCGATAACGGAGTATTGCTGATCGACTTTGCCAGGCCCGCAACATGGTATTATGTAGTACTAGCTTCCAGCATAAAAAGATTCAACCGGCTACATGTCTCTCTCCAAATCGAAAAACGGGAAACCAAATCAAGCATGTTGTGATAGACGGAATTCATGCTTCCAGTGTTTTAAAAGCACATACGTACACAAAACAAACATTGACTCGGACCACTATCTTGTTGCAGCCAAGATACATACACGCCCAACAAAGCAAGGCAAGCTTAACGTCGGTAAGCCGCAATCACAACAGACAGACAATTTATTCGCTACTCGACTCTCACACCTGCTCTATGGGAGCACTTTTCAACAAACCGACATACGGGAGCAGTGAAACCACATTTACCGCTAATTAAGTACACCGCCGAAAAAGGAGTCGGATTTCAGCGAGCCGAAAGAAAACTGGTACGATGAGGAATATCAAAAAGCTGCAAAGAAAAACGATGCCGCCTACAGGGCTACGCAGCGATCGGGTGCAACGCGCACCATGTGGGACCTTAATATGGAGATGAAGAAGGAAGGGAGATGTATTTGCCGCAATTTTACCAGAGTGTTAGGCATCTTGCGGAAGGTTTCAAGAGTAGGGCGAACTCCTGTAAGAGGATCTAGTGACCGATGTGCAGAACGTACTTAAATTATGGGGGGAACACTTTTAAACCCTACTGAATGGTAGCAGCACGGAAAGTTGTGGAGAAGACGAACTCGAGCCCCCAGTGATGATGACGGAGTCAATGCTGAAAAACAACAAAGCTGCAGGTTCTCACAGCCTGCCAGCTGAGTTATTCAAGTACGGCGGTGAAGAGAGAATGAGGAGCATGCATTGACTCTTATGCAGAATATGGTCAGATGAACGCATGCCCGACGACTGGTATTGTAAGTGTGCTTTGCCCAATTCTTAAGAAACGTGACCCCACCATTTGCGCCAACTACCGCGGAATCAGCCGTCTAAGCATAAGTTACGAGGTCTTATCGAGCGTATTGTGTGAAAGACTGAAGCCCACCGTCAACGAACTGATTGGGTCTTATGAGTGTAGCTTTAGACCTGGCAAATGCACCAAACTGATACGGCTGTGTAAAATGACGTTGAGCAATACCACTAGCTCCGTCAGAATTCCGAGCCGTTTGATACCAAACGAGGTTTCAGACAAAGTGAGTCTCTTTCACGTGATTTCTTTAATCTGTTGTTGCAGAAGATAAAAAGAGCCGCAGAACTGAACCGCTCAGGAACAATTTACTACAAGAGCGTGCAATTGCTGGCATATGTCGACGACATCGACATCATCGGTAGCAAAAACCGCGAAGTCTTTTCCGCAAAGAGAAAGGGTCTGGTGGTAAACGAGCATAAGACGAAGTATCTCCTGTCATCAAACAAAAAGTCAGTGCATTTGCGCCTTAGCACCCACGATATTAATGTCAGCATCGAAATCCAACGCAGAATCATTATTGCCAACAAGTGCTACTTTGGACTGGGGTTCAGAAGTAAAGTCCTCTCTCGACGTACGAAAACCACTCTCTCTAAGTCACTTATCATGCCCGCTTCAGCTTGAAAGTATTCAACTCGGAACACGCTAGTGGTAGTAGAGGAAGAGAGAGGTAGGCCCTCACTGCGATGGCATTTCCAATTAACGTCAGTTGGCACAGAAAAGGAGCGACTTACGTGCATTGTTGAACTCAGCCAAAAACTGCTTAGGCCAAAGAAGAAGACGTTAATAAATTCTTATATAAAAAAAAAAAAAAATCAACGTAGAAAAAAATGTTTTCAATAATTTCAAGTAAAAACTATTTTCTTCAAGCTTTTTTACTAAACAAAAAATTCCATTAGTCTAAACAGCTTTTCAAAATTTTTCTCCAAATTTTTTTTTCCAAGTATTGTACTATTATTATTTTCACCCACATAATTATTTCTCCAAAAAAGTATTTTTTCTTTAAAAAAAACATTTATTACCCTAAAATTTGTATACCAAGGAATAATTATTTTTGAAATTTTTATCTCCAAAAATAAGCGTTTCCGTAACAAATAACTTTTACTGCAAATTGTTTTCTTCAAAATGTGTATTTGCTTTTGTGTTTCGTAGATTTTTTCTAATTTGGGTAAAAATATTTCTCCCTAAAAAGCGCTTTTTTCTAAATTATGTTTTTTCGTAAAAATTATGTTTCCTAAAAACATCTTAAAAAACTATAAAACATTGTTCTAATTTTAATGAAAATATTTTTTTCTAAAATTTCTTGTTCAAATATGCGTCACATTTTAAAAATATAAAATATAAAACTACTAAAATCTTGCACGATTTCTTCGTAAGTAAGTGGAATAATGAACGAAAAATTACCCTGAAGATGGCACAACGTCGAAACCGGTTTCTCTCCAAACTAAATTTGGCAAGGGAAGACCTAAAATCGTTCCACAACATATCATAAGTAGAATAACCTTTAGCGAAATATGTTCCTCTTAGGCCTGAAAAGGTTAATCTCCGAGAGAAGATATTGAAAATATATGGCTTTATTCATAAAAAATAAAATAGGTTTAATGAGCTCAATAAAGTTATATTTTCATAAAAATGTTCTATTTATAAAGTGTATAAAGTTAAAGTCGACTTTATTTTTTATGAATTTGGGTGTAAGTCTTTAGGGTGTATAAGACTTTTTTCGTGCCTTCAACAAGAGTTATGACATTGCATTCCTTCATGATATTGGTAGGAAATTTAGATAATTGCACAATTCAGGTCAATCCAATGGAAAGAGGCCGTCTGTGCCCGGTGATTTAAATTCCAAGAATATATTTAGAGCCCACTCGCTGTATTTCCCCGTCACAGCCGATAACTCGGTTTCCGCCCCTGTGGGCTCCGAAAGTTTTCATTTTCGTGACTCCTAATCAAATTTGCTGCTTAACATTTTTGTGAAATTTTTTTTTCAAAACTAGTTCAAAAAGACTTATTTTGGTAAAAGATAAACAAAATTTAAATTTTTATAACTATATGTACATACATACATATGTATGTACTATGTAAGGCGAGTATGTTTGTTCGAATTTCGAATTTATGTACCTATATTAGACCGTACCACCTTATAAGCAAAAAAAAATCTCCGTACACAACTGAATCCAAAGTATTTTTGCAAGGCAATTTCGAAAAATATTTTTTTTTTAGATCCTAGTAGTCGCCTTTTAACATTTTCGGTGACACCTACCATACATTTGCAAATTAAAAAATGTGAAATAATCAAAATAATTCCTTAGCAAAAGTGTATATTTTTTTGGAGAGCTTTAATTTACCAACATTAGGGTGGTAGCAACTGAACTCTGGTGAGTAAATACTAAAACGGGTTTGTTTGAGGTAAATGGACTTTGGAATGAAAAAAATGCCTCCTGAACATCGATGTATCCCGGATAACACAACAAGTCTTATAAGAGTTATATAGTAGCATTTTTCCGTAAAATTTAAGAACAAATACTTTACCATTTTGCTCTATAAAGTAGTCTTTAAAACCCGTATAAGACTAAAAGAGCCCAGGAAGAAAGTTCTGAAAGTTTAAATTAGTAGAGGATTTTCACTAATCATGAAATTGAAGAGAAAAGAGTATACAAATATGTGAACATGCAGAGTCTTATAAAACCTTATTCTAAACGGGCTCTTTATTCAGAACCTTATAAAACCCTTACAAGAGCACAGCCTATAAGAGCCTTATGATCCAGTCGTTCTCCCAAACTTAAAGTTGTGTGTTATCGGGGATCTCACTCTAAGATCCGACTAGAAATACCGAAGAAAGGAATTGAGTTCTGGTGAGTAAGTACTAGAATGGCGTGTCTGAGGTCAAAGAACTTTGGAACAACCCAATTTTATGCTCGAGACAAGAACATCGATATATCACAACTTGCGATCCAACTGTAAATATCGAAGACATGATGAAAATTTAAAAAAAAACCCTACGGCCAAAAAAAAAAAATTTTTTTATTTAAATATAATTTAGGGACGCACGGCGATATTTTATTTCTGGTACGGTCTAGTGCACATACCTACATACTACCTATATGAGTCCCAACGTGTTCAAATTCCTCTCCATCTATGAATCGCCGGCATAACAGCATATCAGCCACCTTCTTCTCTTAGTTGATAAGGCCCAAGCGTAGCACATGTTTCGAGCACCACATGTGTGCAAATATTGGCGCGTTGCCCATACTTATACCCACTTGATATTTTATTAATAGCAACAACAATAATATATAAACAATACCGCGTCAAAAGTAGACATATCAAGAACTGGTATGCGTTTGAACTTGACCCCATATGCCAGCTAAAGCGAACCAGGCAACACAATCTAGCAACGCTCACTGATGAGAAACGATAAGTTTCTCTATCCCACAAATTAGTGCATATTTATGTAGAAGCGTCCCAAACAAATGCCGGCTACCGAGACGTTTCAATGGTTAAAGAAAAATTGCTGAGTACGACGAAAACCGCATGACGCAATACGAGCAGACGGTTAATCACTTCTGGGGCGTTCTCTGTGCTCTGATAAGCGCAACCGGCGGGAGAGCACATTTATAAAAGTAAGCACAAACGCCGCCTGGAGCTTCAGTTCATTTTCAGACGCACCGCCGGACGAATGTAAACTTACGAGTTCCAAGTGAATGTAGCGAAAAAAAAAAATCGTATCAAAGAGAACTTGCAAACTCGTGTATTAAAGTGAATTTAATTGCATATAACAAATAAATCGTCGTTCGCTGAAGCAGAATGTGTGGCATATTTGCGATATTTTCAAAAAATGGCCAACCGTTGGCGCCCAAAGTGTACCATGGCAGCGTGCATACGCTGCGCGAAATAGCCTACCGGCAAAGTGGCAAGCAACGGCATCGCGGTCCAGATGACACGGGCGTCAAAGTGGTGCCAGAGCATGGCGTGGTGCTGATACATGAGCGGCTAGCAGTTATTGGCGTACACACTGGACATCAGCCAATGATTTCCGAGAGCGGCGACATATTGGTGGTGGCCAACGGCGAAATCTACAACTATCTTGAACAATCAGCGGAAATAGCGAAGAAACGTGGACATTATAAGCCCAAAAGCGATTGCAATGTAATTGTTGAACTGTATGAGGAGTATGGCGAGCAACTATTGGAGTATATCACCGGCATGTACGCCTTTGTGCTCTACGATAAGCGCACGAAGAATATTTTGATAGCGCGTGATCCCTTCGGCATCATACCGATGTATATTGGTGAGGACGCAGACGGAAATGTATGGGTTGCTTCGGAGATGAAATGTCTTGTGGATTTCTGTCCGAAACTTGAGCTTTTCACGCCAGGCGAACTGCGTGTAGGCCCAGCAAATAACCTGCAGCGTAAGAGATATTTCACGGAGCAGTGGATTGAGCACATACCCACACAGGAGGTGGACTTATCGTTGCTGCGTGCCAAATTTGAATCGGCTGTGCGTTCGCATCTGCAGTGTGATGTGCCCTTTGGCGCGCTACTCTCTGGTGGCGTGGACTCCAGTCTAGTGGCGTCGATTGCGACAAGGTTGCGGCGTGAACGTGATCCGGATTACCGGTTGAAGACCTTTTCGGTGGGTCTCCGTAATGCGCCCGATTTTAAAGCAGCGCAACTGGTTGCTAACTACATCGGCAGTGAACACACCGAGATAGTGTTCGAAATAGCGGACGCTTTAGATGGCATACGCGATATCATTTACCATCTGGAGACATACGATGTGACCACGGTGCGTTGCAGTCTGCCAATGTTGTTATTGGCGCGCTACATCAAAAGCACTGGCATCAAGATGATATTGTCTGGCGAAGGCGCCGATGAAATATTCGGCGGTTACTTGTATTTCTTCAAGGCACCCAATCGGGAGGAGTTTCACAGAGAGCTGGTCAAGCGTGTGGAGCAAATCAATGTGTCCGATTGCCTGCGCGCCAACAAAGTGACAATGGCCAAAGGCTTGGAGCTGCGTGTGCCATTCCTCGATACGGCCTTCGTTAATTACGTGATGTCAGTGCGACCGGAGGATAAGATGCCAGGCGATCTCAACTGTTTGGGTAATCAGCAAAAGTATCGAATTGAGAAGCATATCCTGCGAGCTGCCTTCGCAGCCAATTACCTGCCCAACGAAGTGCTGTGGCGCCAAAAGGAGCAGTTCTCCGACGGTGTGGGCTACGACTGGATCGATAGCATACGTCGGGTGGCGACCTCACACATCACTGATGCACAATTTGCTACAGCCAGCGAACGTTTTCCCATCAACACGCCGACCACGAAGGAAGCCTACTATTATCGTACAATTTTCGAAGAGCTATTCCCAGGCGAGGCGGCCGCGCAAACTGTGACACGTTGGGTGCCACGTTTGGATTGGGGCTGCCCCGAAGATCCATCGGGGCGCGCACAAACAGTACACCAGGTGCATGGCTGCGGTGCAGGAGCATAGAGTGAAGACTGAACGCTGCTAAGCGTTATATTATTCTTTAGATATACTTACATACATACATGTATAAGTATCTATGGATGTACAATTGTATATCACCATTGTAAATATCTACATACATGAAGTACATCGTCTTCAGCAACAGTCACAACTCAAAATTGGGCATTTTTGAGATTATGCGCTGAAAATGTACGCAGAGCTTTTATTTACCTTTAAGCAAAAGCTGAAGCAAACTTTTGTTATAATTTGTTTAAAAAAAACCTAAGGTAAACTCGCCCTTGCCCATATCGAGCCCTAACCGCCAAAATAACGTAAGCGACATTTTTTTCAAAATTTTCTTTTTGATGCAGAAATATTCCTAGAGCATCTAGATGCATTTCTGCATCAAAAATAAAATTTTGAAAAAAATGTCGCTTACGTTATTTTGGCGGTTAGGGCTCGATATGATTATCATGTGCTAAGAAATAGTTTTTCGCATTTACTGACAAACGTATTATTTTGAGTTGTGACTCTTTTGAAGACGTCGTGCGATATGTATGTATGTATGTTCAGTTGTGCATTATTTACATAAATATTTTAATTACATATATAAACATACAATGTAGTGGCCTTTAAAAGTGTAGTCAGTAGTCAGGAATCAGAAATGCAATATCTCGCGATATCGCGCAGCCTGTGGATTCCAAATATATGTATGTATATATTGTATGTATGTATGTATATACATACGTATTTACGTACATATCAAGATCTTTCGCTACAAAGGTATTATATTAACAGACACTTTCGCTGAAAATTAAGTACACCTATGTCAATATGTATTATATAGCTATTAATAACAAAATGAATAAATAATCCTTTACTTAAAAAGTTTATAGAACTTTTCGAGTTTATTGACTTTCGGTAGTGAAACAAATGTACAAATATGCGCACATTATCTGAAAACTTTAGTAACATAAAAAATATAAGACATTCTAGTAATACCGCAAATTAACAGCCGATATGTTATCTATGTTCATATGTACATACTTATGTATTAGACTGCACCACCAAAAAAAAAATTGCGGTTTTTCCGCCGGAATTACAAAACTTATTATATTTTAAGACGTCCACAAAAAAATATCTCCAAAAATGGAGTTTTTATGAATAAAAATAGTTTCTTAAAGAACGTTTTGAAAAAGCCCCCTCAGGTGACAAAACAGATTAGGCTTAAAAAATCTGCATAAAAATGTTTAAAAATCTTTTCAACAGAATCGTAATAAGAGATTTTTGATGGTGTTTTTTTTACTTTTTTCAAAAAAGATTGATTAACGTAAAACTTAAATAACTGGGTCCCAAGTATTCTGATTTAGACTTATGGGATCTCGGTAGAAAGGTATTTACGCACTATTTTTATTTATGTGCAAAAAAAAAGTCATTCGTGTCCCAATTTTTCTTGTTCAAATACCAACACATCTTAATTCAACTTTGAATGATGTTCGTGCATCCTGCCTACAAAGAAATAAAAAGGGTGAGAAAATACCTTTCAAATGATACCTCACACGTCATACCAATATTTGAAAAAAGTTAAAAAACAGCATCAAAATCTCATTATTACGATTCCGTTCAATTTTTTATTTTTATTTTTTTTAAATATATTAATGTAAATTTTTTAAGCTTAAACCGTTTTGTCATTTGAGGGGATTTTTTCAAAAAACATCTTTAAGAAAATTTTTTTATTCATAAAAAAACTCCGTTTTTGGAGGTATTTTCAAATCGGTCTAGCTCGCTTAAATCTTAATATTTTTTTCGAAATATCTTGGTGGACGTCTTAAAATATAATAGATTCTATAACTTCAATGGAAAAACTACCGATTTTCTTTTTTTTTTGTATGGTGAGGCAGTCTAATATACATAATACCTTTTTCGTTGGTGTAATTTTTTAGCCTAATAATAACTTATGTACCTACTTTACACTCTCATCTTTTTCGGGCCAAAAACTATACCTATTTTTGCAGTAATAGAAAGAGCTTTTCAATAATATAAAGAAAGTCCTGGTACTATATGTATATACCTGTTGTACACCCAACAATAAAATGATACTCTAACAAAAGCCATATGAATCAAAATTACTAAACTTTGTACAAAAATTAGAGAAATGGAATAAAGTTGCTCAGCAGCAATTTTATAGTTTTGAAGTGTCTACAAAATACCGTTGATTTTTATTTTTATTTTTTTGATGACGACGCACAGTGTTTCGACTATATGAAGGCAGGTGGAAAGAATTGTTAACGTGCACAGACTTCGCTGAAGCTTCTTGACATGTGCTCTAATATTTCGTATGAATAGGGAATCTATACTATAACTAGCAGATCCGGCGAACTTCGTCAGACCCAAAATTAATTTTTTGTATTGAAAAATTTTGGTCCAACATTTTCACCAACACTTCACGTTCATGATTTTCAGTGACGCATTATGGTTTGGTAGTCGTCAAAAGGCATATTTCCATTGCCGACTAAAATAACCTAGCAAAAGTGTATATACATACAAAGAACCGTTTCCGTGCGTTTGAAAGGCGCCACGCCCCCTTTTCAAACAGCCCCAATTTTCTCTAAGGATATAGGATTGATTTCATATATCTACATACCAGTACTCTACCATGAAAAATTCCAGTGATATGAAGTGTGAAAAATTCGGTTTGTATGGGAGGTGCCACGCCCCTTTTTCCAGTAGCCCCAATTTTTCTTTACGACTATACGGTTGATTTTATATATATTGTACATACCAAGTTCCAGTACTCTACCATGAACACTTCCAGAGATATGCAGTGTGAAAAATTCGGTTTGTATGGAAGGGGCCACGCTCCTTATTCCAATAACCACAATTTTACTTTATGACCATGTGACTGATTCCATATATCTCCATACCAAGTTCGAGCACTCTACCATGAACACTTCCAGAGATATGCAGTATGAAAAATTCGGTTTATTGTTGCCCCTCATTTGGAAGGGCCTCACATTTGGTAGGGCCCCACATGTGATGACGAAAGAACAAAAAAATGTTTTCGGAGATTGCAGAAAAGATCCCTTGGTATTAAGAAGACTTGTAAGCACCATCAATACATCTTGCGGAACCTAGCTTAGCTTCTCCTGGGTCTGGCGAGATTCTCGATAGCTCAGAATGACCCCCGGACATATCAAAGAATACGAAAATAAGGGACGAGGACAAGTGAATTATTTATCGTCAACAATCTGCGAGAAAACAATAACTTTGAGGGGTGAGAAAGTACAAGCAAAAATAATAAGCCGGATCAAAAAGACAAAATATTCGTACCATTCCATCTCTGTTCATATAGGAGACTGCCGTGGTCAGTCGTTTCATACTACATGCAACATGAGCGACAAGTATAAGGAAATTCAGGCGAGAATTTCAAAAGAAAACACGTGGTTTGAGGTCAATAATTAACGATACTGTTAAAATGAAAATATAATTATTTTTTCAAATTAATTGTAAGTTATTATTAACTACCCATGTGTAACGGCTCCGGGCCCCCACATTCTGAGTCCGGCCCTGGTCCTATACATTGAACTATCTGTAATAAGTGCATATAATGGGAGGGATACTTTCCTTAGGAATGGAAATGTTTTAGGGTCATTGTTCCCCTGAAGTCACCTGACATGATGAGGAGTGATCGTCGATCCTATCATGGTATCATCATCCTTCCAGTACTTAGCAGGACTTTACTGGGGGGTATAAAGTCCGATAGGCAGTATGGGTTTAGGAAAAGGACGTAGTATTGGAGATGCGTGGATAAATGTAAACAATTTTGTAAAAAATTGTGTGATACAAACGGCAATGAGTATGTTCTTGACATAATTGTTGATTTTCAGCGGGCTTTCAATTATTTACATGGGGCTAGAGTCATTGAGCTGTTGCAGAGACTTGGGTGTCCAGAGTTGGCTCTATGGCGTAACTATTTCTCTGGAAAAATAGCTGCTATATTTTGTGGAGGGAGGCATGTGTGGGCATTTATTATGTGGTACAATTGTTTGGAACCCTCTGGCAGCTCGAGTCCTTATGAAATTTTAGTGACCTTCTAATTTTTTTAGAGGGGTAATCGAGGGCAGCAAAAGAACAGAAGGGGAATAAACTACTTGATATAGTGAGCAGATGGGACACGGATGTGGGTAATTAATGTAGCGGTAGACAAGACGGCACTGATGCTCCTCAAAGGTAGATTGTGGCTGGGTCGTCCACCAGCCTTTTGGTCGCCCATGAGCGTTCTATGGCCTTTCAGTTGATAAGGAGTATGGAGATGCCATTGCTGGGTGAGCAGATTTCGGATGTTGATGTGGAGAGAGAGGCTATTAGGAATGTAAACGGGATGTTGCGTGAGACGCTATTAAGTAAGTGGCAAGATCGCTGGGACAATAGTCCCAATCGACGATTGACTTATAAGTATATTCGGCACGTCAATTATGTGCGGAAAAATCCGAGTTTCAGATTTTGTCTGAGGTTGGGTTTTCTTCTGGTCGGACATGGGCTATTCAACGCCTTTTTATATAAACGGAGTCTAAACGATTCTGATTGATACTCAGATATTACGGATCGAACTGAGATGAGGACTAGAGGGACAGTATTGTTTTGCCGATGTTCTCTCCGTGAGGCAGTATGTTGGAAATCTGGGGTAATTTGCAACAGAAGTTTTCAGGCGGGAAGACGTGGCACTGAGCAGCCATTATTAAATCGCAAGCAATGAAAACCTCATAAATATTTATAATCAAAAACGTTAAGCTAAGTGCATAGTAAAAATTGGAAATTACCTGCATATTTAATCAAAACTGCAACACATTTATTGCATGCAAATAATGGCTATCAATAATTTGTAAACCCGAGATAACGACTCGTCTGCGTTCTGAAGTGTCGGATTACATGTAATCTATGCATCAGTGATAATCATATTCGTCGTTTGAAGTGCAAAACCGCGTATCAACAAAATGCAAAACCGCGTATCAGCAAAATGCAAAACAGCGTATGTGAAGTTTTGTAAATTATTTTCTAGAGCGTAAAAACACTCATATTTCAAAATGGTTCTCTTTTATATAAAGCAATCGCATACCTACCTGGCCAGTATATTTCAGGAGTAATGGATAAGGATTGAGCAAAGAGCTTGTGTGAGCAAATCCAATTTTTGGCAGCCAATGTCAGTTACGCGGTTTTGCA